AAGTCCACAAGTCTTAAAGTTGCCAAGGTTGGAGACCCCTGCGTTTACAGCACATCTAGTCAGAAAGAAAGAAGAAACACTGAAATACCCACCCACCCCTTTTTATTCTTCATATGTTGCTAGATTTCATCTGGAAGCTTGGATCCAAATCTTGGTTTAGCTTTAATTCTCACTGCTCAAAAAAAGAGCATGCTTTATAGGGGGCAAAATGAAATGATTTCTTACTGGCTTCAGTGAGTTTTCTGGAGAACAGTAATAGAGGGCAAACACAATGAACTTAGGAATCCCAAGCATTTATTGTAAGTTCCGTTTATTTTCAAAGCATTTGATATACAATACGGCATTTTGCACATTAGAATAGCCAGCAGCAATTACTTTGATATAATTTGGAAAAGCATGTACCCTTCAAGAAAGGTAAAGGCTTCGCCGGACCAGCCATGTCCAACTCTAAGGAGGGGTGCTCATCTCCATTTCGTAGCAGAGGGAGCCAACACTGTCCAAAGACAATGGTCACATGACCACCATGGCTATATGCCAAGGCTCACGAAATACTGTTACCTTCCCACCGAAGTGGTACCTATTTACTGGCATGTGTATGCTTTCAAAATGCTAGGAGGGCAGGGGCAAGTAACAGAAGCTCACTCCGCCATGTGGCGCTCGGGTCTCAAACCCGGGCTGCTGACTTTACAGCCAGCAAGTCCAGCGTCTTAACCCCTGAGCCATTGCGCTCCTCGTGTAAAATAAAATAAAACATTAGTTGCACCAGTATGTCCTTCCTTAAAACAGGCAATTGATCCAGGGTCTAGAGCTGCACAGGAATAGCCTAACCAATTGGCTAGGTGGGCATAAGGAGGCCAAATGGTCTTTTGGGGGCAACTTTTCCTTTAGTCAACAGTTGAACAGCTGCTTTTCTGCTTACCTGTTTTAAGGTGTTGATGAAGATGGAGATAGTTATTGAAAGTACCCCCATTCATACTGGGTTAGAGACCAGCTTCTGTAAAGCTCTTCAGGGTGAGTTCATCTTTGTAGGCAACCTTGTCCCAGTTGGTGCCTTCCAAATGGACTACATGTCCCACCATTCCCAATTGCGAGTCAGAGATGAGGTAGACTATAGTTGATGTCATCTAGGAGGCTTCAAGGTTAAAGAAGATCATTTCCAGCTAATCGAAAGGTGTCAAATCTTCCAACCTCATCCACCTAATACAGCTAGTCCCTGCCTTATGGGAAGAGAATTTCCATCGCTAAGCAAGGTGGTTGTTAAGTGAATTGTGCCCACTTTACAACCTTTTTTTTTTACCAGTGAAAAAAAATGTGAAAAAAATCTACCTGAGAAATTCCCCATCTTTGTACCAGATTGGGAATAGCATCAAGTCTTGAAAGCAGTTGAGAAATTTAGTATAAAAGATTGCCCTTGCACAATTGAAACTTTGCAGCAGGGACACAAGTTGCAATGTTCTGTATAGTTGTCACTCAAGAAATGCTTCTTGGAAGCAGAGCCCTACGGACCAAAAAAAGAAAAAAAGAAAAGGATAAAATAGATTAGTTGCCAGAAGAAATCTAGGATAGGAAAATTCACCTCTTCAAACACAGATGTTACCATCCCTTTGCAGACTAAAGGAATTTAGAAATAGATCTAGGATGCTTCCAATACTTCATAAGAAGTATCTTCCGAGTTGCAGCAGCCCATCAGAAAAATGCAAGAAAGGATACAGTATTTGAAATTTTAGCAATCAGGTTTTAAGCACTTTCTGCAGCAAGGCCGTTTGGAAATATGCGGACAGTGATGCGAGAGGAAGCTGGGTGTGATTCTTAGCGGTTAGGAGAAAGACTTGACTACTTCATGTTGTCCTGCCTTAAGACTAGCTGAAGCCAAGAGCTAGCTAGCAAGCAAAAATAATTGTTTTTCTTTTAAATCAGATGTGCATATGCAAAAATTTTCAGTCTTTTCCTAAGAGAGAGAGAGAGAGGGAGGTGGGGAGGGAGGGAGAGAAAAATGCAGCTTTTCTTGGCACGATCTTAATAGTCTTGGCAGAGAATATTTGCACAACCTTGTTCAGAGAAACATACCTCAGCTCAAGCTCATAAAAATGAAACCAGCTGAGATATAAACTGTTGTACAGTAGCTCTCAGGCAGAAAAGGCCTTCTGGTGTGTATGTTGGACTTGATGGAATCAGGTCAAAGAACTCCGTGGGGCTGTCTCTGACACTGGCTAACCTCTTCTGGGGAACACCATATGTGCCTCAAAACCCCATGTGCAAGGAAAAGACATTTGTTCAGCAGGGCACTTGGCAAACTTGGTCTATAGTATAAAAATTTCAGAATGTACTCTTAAGGCAGCTGCCAAAGTTTGAGCAAGCCCAATATGGTAGTTACCTAAGAGATCTGGCCTGCTCTGTATCTACAATATACCCATAATGTTGGTATAATACTTGATGTTGCAATATGTCTTTCTTCTTCTTTTTCCTTATTGCATGGTCCTTCACTTCTTTTGCTTACTGTGCCTTACTTCTTTTCTGCACTTTGCCTAGCGCCGCTTACTACAAACTGGAACAGCATGATCCGTATGCATGCATATTTACATTCAGCGCAGGGGAAAACTTGCGACACTCTTTAATAAATATTGTATCTCTCTGTTCAACAGAAGTGTGTTGCGGGGAGGAAGGGCCTGTCATGAACAACACCACAAAAAAGCACAAATAAGTCAACCTCTGTTCGATGCTGCTAAAGATTGGAAGAGTTTGCAACTCTTCTTTGACTGCAACGGAAGATCTTTACACCGTCGGATGGAAACCGAACTGTTGCCCCATGGAAACTCACCTTTGAAAATCTTTCTTGACTGCAGAGCATAGTTGAACATTGCAAGGAACAATAAGGATTTTTAGGGGCATTATGACTGGGTTAGTAAAACACAGCTGCCCCTGAAAGTCCCTCATTTTTCTTGCTGTCTCACACCGTCTTCCTTTGGGGTCCCCGGAAACAAGAGTGGTGAACTCCATTTTGCACAGATCAGCATACTTGACAAAAATCAACACAGACCTCTTTCTCTTTTTTTTTTTAACCACCCTTCTATCATTTTGAACAATCAGCTGCAATATGGTGAAAGCAAGCAAGTGTAGAGATGTTTTTATTTGCCCTTTCAGATCCCACCGAAAGAAATCCACATGTGTCATTTTTGTTCTTCCAAGTGAGCAAACAACCACAGATAATATCAAAGACTGTTAAGTTCTGCAGCATATAGAAGCTCTTGGGAGATGGATTGTCAATTGCTCTTGAATAATTGAAGCCAATTTAACATCCTTCAAGCTCAGACTAGTGCCGCTAAACCAGCTTTCTAAAACCCGGTGTCCTTCAATTATGGGCCACACTGGCCAGAAAGGACATGAATTTGACTTGATTGAGGAAGACACGTTGAGTGGTCAAACCTTGCTGCAAAATAAGAATTCTTTATATCCAATACTTCCATTTCACTATATGATATACAGCAGTGTCAACCCAACCTTTTTGGCATTAGGGACTGGTTTCATGGGGGAGGGGAAGGTTCTGTTTTTGCTCACTTGCCCACCACTCATCTGTAGTTTTGTGGACCGGTTCCTAACAAGCCATGGATTGCCATGGCCTGGGGGTTGGGGACCTCTGACATACAGTATAGTAGCATTTATCCATGTGATTTGCCACTAGTGGTAGCTCTCTCCCTCCCTCCATCTCTCTCATTCTATCCTATCCTATCCTATCCTATCTCTATTCCAGTCCAGTCCAGTCCATGCATCCTCTCCTGGCTTTACTATTTTTATAAATAACTCAAGGTGGCAAACATAGGTAATATTTCTTCTTTCTCCTATTTTCCTCACAATAACAACCCCGTGAGGTGACTTGGGCAGAGAGAGAGTGACTTGCCCAAAGTCACCCAGCTGGCTTTCATGCCTAACACAGAACTAGAACTCCCTGGTTTTTCAACTACTGCACCAAACTGTTTCTATATTTTTAAATGCCACGACAGAGAAAGAAACCTGCAAGTACTACCAACTTGGTGGGGATGATCTGCTCATTTTATTTCAGGAGGACATTCTACCCCCACCCCCAAGTCAGGGCACAACTGAAAAACATGGGGACTATAATGCTTCAGATAATTATGGAAGGAAGGTCCAGTCATGGGTAACAATGACTCGACCTCAATCCCCTTCTAAAAAGTGGAAGTAACTTCAGTGGTAAGTAGAAGACCTATTCAAATTGTCTCCAGCCATGAGAGAGATGGTTGCTAGCTTCATGGCAAGGTCACTTGTGGAAGGGAACATGGTCTGGTTCCTCCTACTCCTGTCAAAAGAAGAGTATAAGGAGGAAGAGAAGGAATTAAAAAGTGCCTTATCTTTCCAAATATTTCAGACCCTAAGCTCTCCATTCCTTTGAATCATCTTTCATAGCCAAGGGAGGGGGGCGGGCTGCATACAGGTAGTCCTTGACTTACAACAGTTCATTTAGTGATTGTTCAAAGTTACAACAGCTCTGAAAAAAGGGACTTATGACCATTTTTCACACTTATGACCGCTGTGGCATCCCTATGGTCATGTGATCAAAATTCAGTTATTTGGTAAATGGTTCATATTTATTGACGGTTGCAGTGTCCCGCGTCACACAATCACCTTTTCCAACAAGCAAAGACAATGGGGAAGCCAGATTCACTTTACAACCATGTCACTAACTCGACAACTGCAGTGATTCACTTAACAAACGTGACAAGACAGGTCGTAAAATAGAACAAAATTCACTTAACCAATGTCTCATTTAGCAGCAGAAATTGTGATTGTAAGTCAAGGACTATATATATATTTGGTTCAGGGCTAGCATATGGGTTGCTCTCTGCTTTCCATTAGAGACACCAGGCTGACGTCAGCATCCTCAGAAACTCTATGATCACTGCTCAACAAAAGCAGAGATACTTTGCTAATCATCTATTAGAAGAAGAAAGAAACTAAGAAAGAGACTAGGAATGACAAGGCCAGAGCAGGAAAAATTCTCAGCTGATAGACAACTTGTGATCCTCTGACTTCCCCAAGGGTACCACCAAAACCACAGATTTTCAGCAGGGCCAACAAGAAGGGAGGGGGGGATAATTAAGAAGGACTTGCCATGTATTCCGCTTGCTAAAATGGCCACTGATAGATTTAAGGGGAACTGTTCTAGAAGCGTCTCAACTTCTGGAGTGCATATTAAAAATGATTTAAGACAACAAAGTCTGCTGTTCATTAGACACCGTATTAAACATTTTTACAGAAATATTTATAAAGAATTCCAAATGGTTTTTGCCATCTTAGAAGTTATTCCCTCTTCTCTTTCACATTAGGCGTGTGTGTGTCTACTAAAGTGTTTTATTTTAAATGACAAGAATTACCTTTACTGGCTCACAAATGCAGGTTTTTACCTCTTTGCAAATACAGTAAGACTCATACTCCATCAAAGAGCAGAGACATCCACTTCCTGGAGGAAGGACTAGGGCAGATAAACCAGAGGCAGAAACCAGAGGAAGGCTTGAGATTTATTGCCTTCTCATTCCCTCGTTGGTTTCCTCATGACTTCTCTTCCCGCTAATTCTAATACCTCTTGAATTACAAATTCCAAAATCTTTGCTGTCGTCTCTACTGCCTGGAGTGACAAGAACTGTAGTTGAGCTCTGTAGCTGTCACAGAACATTGAAAATGGAAGTATGGAGATTTGCATCATCCTCTTGGAGAAACTCCTCATAATGTATTAACCTCTTTGGAGAGTAAGCCTTACTGCTTGATCTCTGATCAAAAGGACCCACTCTTTAGACCTAAGATACAACCACAAAGATTAGAATTGCAACCTAAAACCTACAGGCATCAATCCATTCAAAGCCTTGAACTGGGCTGCGGCCCTAATTTTAATAAATGTAAGAATTTCAATAGATGAATTCTTTCTTGTCCACAACTTTGCTCCTCCCATCCAACCATCTTTCCCTAATGACTATCATTCCTTAACGGATGGTTCACAAACTAAATGGGACACCTGTCCAAAGTTTCCTTAATGGGAAGCTGCCAGGAAGCCATCTGCAAATGGCTCTGAATTACTCGGAAGTGGAAAAAAATCAGGGTACAAATAGAACAATAATATGATTCATGACTGTCAAGGAAAAGTTGCAAAAAAAAAGGTATGTTAAAAAACATCCATAAATTCATAGCAAGGCAAACAGCTGAGCCACACTTATTTTTTTTAAAAAAGGGGGGAAGACATGCTTTTCTCAAGAGGGAGAGAAAAAAATTGCCTGAGGTATCTCTGGGAGGCTGATTCTTTTAAAAGCTACTGTTCTGGCCTCCCCATTGAAACACAACGTTCAAGACAAAGCAACAAGAGATGTCAACTACGCTTAGACCCAACAGCTGTTTCATTCGTTAAAAAAAAAGAGGAGGAATCCATCTCGATGTAATGAATGTGAAGTGGATATTCACACTTCTCAATTTTGATTACATTGCTTCTATGGTGTT